CTGGCTACTTGTAAGCTATATGGAGCCAACAATGATTAGCGGTTGCCAAGAAGAGTTGACCAGAGTAGGATAACGGCGCGCTAGAAGAGAGATGGATAGCCAGCATTTGAGTTCGGATTAAGCCTTTGGTTACTAGTGGATCCTACGGTGGCACATAATAGGTCAACAGAACATCTGAGCTGTGAAGCCAGCAATCCAAGAGGATGGACATTGTAAGAATGGAGCTACTCCTACAGATCTCCGGATATCCGCAGAGTTAGATGGAAGCTATGGCGACTAGCTGTTGCTAAGCGGAGATTGTGGCTCTAGAAAAGAATGAATCAGTGGCTGGTGTAGCCATAGTATTAAGACGTTTGTCCACTATTTGATACCTACCGTTTCGATGAAGAAGTCAACAGACGAGCGAGGTTTAAGAGAGACATACGGCAGAAGAAAAATGAAGGCTGGAGAGTCAAGAAGTGGCTCCTTGTAGCCTACATGGAGCCAACGATGTCTACCTATTGTCAAGAAACATTGAGGCAAATAAGATGAACGATGGGTAATGGCGCGCCAGGAGAGAGGTGAATGGCAAGCATTGGAGATCGGATTACTCCTCCAGTTCCTAGTGGATCCTACGGTGGCACATAATAGGTCAACAGAACATCTGAGCTGTGACGCAAACATTCTAAAATAATGAACATTGTACGAATGGAGCTACTCCTACATATCTCCTGATATCCGCAGAGTTAAATGGAAGCTATTGCGACTAGCTGTTGCTAAGGGGAGATAGTGGCTCTAGAAAAGAATGAATCAGTGGCTGGTGCAGCAATAGTATTAAGATGTTTGTCCACTATTTGATACCTACAGTTTCGATGAAGAAGTCAAGAGACGTGCGAGGTTTAAGAGAGACATACGGCAGAAGAGAATGAAGGCTGGAGAGTCAAGAAGTGACTCCTTGTAGGCTACATGGAGCCAGCAATGTCTAGCTATTGTCAAGAAGAGTTGAGGCGAGTAAGATGAACGACGGATAATGAAGCGCTGGGAGAGAGAAGAGTGACCAGCAATGGAGTTTGTGCTAAGCCTTCGGTAACTAGTGGATCCTACGGTGGCACATAATAGGTCAGCGAACCATCACATCTTCGTTGCGGACACGCTGGTGCCATCCGATACCAGCAATGCTTCGCAGACAACGATGAGAAAAGACTTGAAGGCGCTTTAGATCTTCAGGCCGAAGGGGCCAAATCTCACTACCATAGAGCAGAACGACCCTCAGTGTGGCCTTGTATACACGGCCTTTCAGACGGAGGGAAATTCCCTTCTGTCGCCAAAGATGCCGTAGGTTCAAGAAGGCAGCTCTGGCCTTTGCGACGCGTGAGCTGACGTCAGTTTCTATGCGTCCATCGTTGCTGATGCAGCTCCCAAGATAAGTGAAATGCTCAACCACCTCGAGTTCCTCGTCAGCAAGCGTCAAGGGGTCACCAAGTGGCTGGTGGTCCTGCAACAACACTTTGAAGGTGCGAGGTACATACCAAATAATGGGACCACTCTAGACAGGGTTGATTGCGCCACCGCAACATCGTCGAAAGGCAATACGCATAATTAAGATCTACTAATCTTTCACCAGGCAGCACTTTAACGCCTGCATCATGAGGTTCCGCAAGGAAACACTCCATAATAGAATCTACGACGAAATTGAACATAAATAGGGAAATCGGGCAACCCTGACGAACGCCACTTCTGGTCGGAAAGCTATCCGGTAGGCCACCGTAGACCCCGATGCGGCCTGTAGTATTCGAGTGTAGAGCACGAAGGATGTTCACATATTTCGTGAGAACACCTTTTCGCGCAAGTATTTCGAACAGAATCGATCGACCAACTGAATCGAACGCACTCTTGAAATCGAGGAACACAGCTATTGTCGGTCTGCGGTATGCGTGTCGATGCTCTAACACCTGCCGCAAAGTGAATATATGGTCTATACAACCACGTGCTGGGCGGAAACCAGCCTGCTCTTTTCTAATCCGAGATTCCCGTTCCGCAGTGAAGCGACGAACGATAATCGAGGTCAGTAATTTTGCCACAACTGGTGTTAGCCTAATACCCTTGTGGTTAGAACAGCCTGTATGTCTGTCCTTCTTGTGTATTGACACTATAATCGATTCGTTCCAATCAGCCGGGACACTCTTCCTTCCAGGTACGTTCGAATAGGGAGGTCAGTGCTTTGCAGAGGACCTCACCTCAATCCTTAAATACTGCAGGTGGGAGGGAATCCGGGCCAGCGGCACGAAAATGATTGAGGGTTGTGATCGCGTTTCGGACCTCGGCCTCCGACGGAGGCTCTAAACTAACCGTCCATAGTTCGTCCTGCATCACCTGAGTAGGAAGAGATCCGGGAGCAGGGGGCCAGCTGAACTGATCTTCAAAGTTTTCCGCCCAACGAGTCATACGGCGCTTTTTATTGTGTATCAGTGCACCCGCGCTGTCTCTGATTATCTCACTGACGCCGGGTTTCCTAGGACCAGTGGTGCGGATCAACTGGAAGAGCTTGCGGTAATTGCCTACTGCTCCTGCATCCTCCATTTCTTGAGCCTGACTGGTCCACCAGGCTTCCTTGTCAGCACGTACGCTCTGCTTTAGTTCACGCCTAATAGCCCGTCTGGTCACATTGTATTGATAGCCAGTCGGGAGGTTTCTTCTATATTCCAAAAGGTTCACGGACCTCTCGGATATCCATTGACTGGTGCGGTGACAATGAATAGTGCCACAAGCAGATGCTCCTGCGTTGTGCATGGCTGCCGAGATCCTGTTGCACTGCAGCTGAGTGTCATTAGAACAAGAAGACGAAAGTTCGGTACGCACTGCATCTTGAGAGGCTTGTCTGACGGAGGGATGAGAAAATTCCTCAGTTGCCAATCGGAGGGGGCGCTTGGTGCGCCTTCCGGTAAAGTTCATGGAGAAACGACAGCGTACCAAGGCATGATCGGAGTCGACACAGATACTCCAATACGAGAGGCAATCCAGGATGGAACCACGCCACCTGTACCTTATGGCTATGTGGTCAATTTAGGTCCATCGCTGGCCAGCAACAGGTGGACGCCAAGTGGCACTTCCGCGCCCACTGTGTCTAAGAGCAGTGCTACAAAGAAACAATTGGTGCGCCGCACACAGTTGCAGCAGACGCTCACCGTTATCACTCCGTTCTGAATTAAGCCCACAATTACCACCCAGCTGAGCTTCTGAAGAGCTCAGATGCCCTACTTGTGTTCAAATCCCCTGCAAGTACTATAATATCTGAACAAGTAGCACTGCGTAGTAGCGCGTTCAGTTCGTCACGGACTGTGTCCTTGACATCAGTCGGTGGGAGCGTAAATGGAAATCACAAACAAACAGCGTTTGGTATTACTTCGTGAATCCACCTTAACTGATGTCGTCAAACGGGCTGCATATAAACGGCTGTTCACCTTAATCCAATCCATCAACGAGGCCTCAGCCTTTTAGCTTAGAATGGTACCTACACCAGCTTGGCCCTTGATTGCTGCATCGGCGTCTCTGGATACGTGCAACCAATAACGAGAGGATAAGCCGGGTGCAGTTAATTCAACAACCCCGTTAGGATCATTGATCCTAGTTTCGGACACGCATCAACACTATGTGGGTCCAAGGTGCGTGCGAGTGCAGACTGTTGACCTGTTTGTCTTAGAGTGCGAACATTGAATGTCGCCATGGAAACGGGATAGCGTGGCCTTATAAGGGACTTTTTCCCCATAGGTGCTGTGGGATGGTGGCTGCAGGTGGTTCTACTCCAGTGGCACTTCGGTTGCTGTCAATGAAGCGGAGAATTATAGAATGAAGGGTACTAATGGGGGTCGGGATGGAAATAAGAGAAACAGGTGGGAAAGAAAGAAGGGAGGCGCTAGCAGTAGCATGTTTTCGCTTATCTGCCCTGTTGTATGCAGCAGATAAGGCGATCCTTGATAATCTGCGCGATGACAGATGCAGGATGAAGTTTATTTTTGAAGAAAATGTCATGGTTGTATGTGGGCTGAGATACTGCTAGGGCGCCAAGACCTAGACTCGAGTTCGATTAGGGTCCTCATCCAAAGTCTTTGGCTCAAAAGCCTGTTCGCAAGGCAGCGGGGAGGTGGCAATGATTTACTTTTACAGTAATGGACGCCATCCAATTTCAAACCCCCAAGCTGGAGGACCAGGAGACTGAGTTTGTCTGACTTCGCGCCATTGACCAACCTGGTAGGAGTAGCTCTCAAGGTGCCCGGAGGCATCACGCAGTATAGCTCAATGGGTCAAGGAGGTACGCAGACTGTCGCTCTACGTTAAGGTCCAGTCTCGTTGCGACGGATTGCCATCTACCAGGAGGTTAGAACCAGTCATCTAGTGTCATTCGAGAGCAAGTTTCCAGTCGTCCAAATAGGTGAACCAGCTAGCTTTTCCCTGCAGTAGAACGAGGATCTCGGGGAAATATTGCGTAAGCAAACTAAAATAATGCTTGTGGGGGCGGAGGAGGTGAGCATTGGTGCCATCGCATTGATTTTTATACTTTCAGAAATGGATAGATCGTGCTCTGGAAACTAGGTATGGGACGTTTGTACGGCTTTTATTACAGTGTGTTCGAGAAAGTGCACCACCACCAGTCTCGACCAGACCATTGTTCCCATAACTCATCAAACGTGCAAGCACCCAAGTCCTTCGATACGGATGCGGTGCTCTGGGGTTGTGTAAAAGTCGCGAAACTGTACACTGCTGCCTAAGGCGTTGATATTTATTAATCACCTTTTTCGAGCTCAATTATGTATTATGGGAGCAAGTAGAAATCTAAATAGGTACAACTCCAAATTACTGTGAGGAGCCAATAGTAGGTTGTGGATTGCTGCTCAGATACTAGTCGAAAGCAGTGGCACGTAAGAAGCGTGTCGAGTATAGTGAACATTTAGATCGATTGGACTCAACGTGTATTGACAGTGGCTAAAAAGAAGGGAGGACAGCTAAGCAAAAGTAGACAGTAGTGTACCACCTGACTCACGAGGAGAGCGAGTGATTGGTATGCATTATCTGTTAAACAAATGGATCGGAAGATATAAACAAGAATAAAATCCCATGTCTCAGCATACGGAAGTGTGCATGATTCATGTTCATCACAAGAGTCTCCCACTGGAAGGCTGAATGAGGGAAGCCTTCGATAGGGATGTCACGTGGGGAGATCAAGTGAGGATGGGGGCGCAGGTACACAGAAGGGAGCCGCGTGGAGTTAGCTGGTTTCGGGCTTATTTGATATTGGGGTGTGTACTGGAGTGCATTATCAGTAAGCTGTCGGGACGGGCTCCGGACTGCAAAAATACTTGCTAATCCCGAAATAAGCCGACAGGACATTTCTTCCGCTGCAGGCCCAACGGTGCGCTTGGGAGGTGTCACTACCCCACCGCACCAGTCCACCGCGATGACGATCCTCATCCCACGAAGAATCCCGCATGTGGTCTTTGGGGAACCGTTTCCCAGAGCTTGTTGACCATGCTAGCCGTTATTAGCACCGGTAGAGTGGAAGTGGTGGTAGCTTGGAGCCAAGGTGACGTTCCGAGCAGACGGGCCAGGAGCTTCCGCAGTTTTTCAGGAGACAGGATCTGGAATGTAAAACTCGGGGAGGGTCGGACATGGTCCTGACAGGCGGCTTGATGCTGTTTGGAAAATGAGGCAAGCATGTGAAATGAAAATGTGTGGACATTTTTGTTTTTAAGTTTCTCTTTTTGTTTTCGTTTTGCAAAACATTGTGAATAAAACACCGTTGCCATAAGAGGTGAGAAAAGCGCATGTCAATGAATATAGCAAACGACTAGATCACATATTAACGGAGATGCTTAAAAAGTGGCAAAAGGCATCAGTAATTTCGGCGTTTCGCTGCCGATCAAAGAGTACCAGTTGCAGATGGGTAAGGATACTGCGAGGGTCGCCCTGTCCTTACACAAGCTCGAACCCGCGCCATCAGATTACGAAGCAATCTTGTTACCTCTAGGCTATGGGCCGGCAGGGAGATGTTTAAATGAAGTCGGAGCCGGAAATCCTTGATAGCTTGGACCTTGCTCGCAAGAACCTTGATACCAGACGATGAAACGAGGTGTCCTAGGAATTCTACCGTTAACTTGTTAAGTTCGCACTTAATCTGGTTAACATTGACAAGATGTTGGATCAGCCGTTAGAAGAGAGATTGAAGATGGGCGAGGGGCTTTTTGTCAGATAAACTGGTTACAAGAATGTTGTTGATTTCGGGCTAAGCGAAGTCTAGGTCACGAGTGACGTGAGTGAAGGCTTGTGCGGCGTTGTATAGTCTAAAAGGCATTCTTAAGAATTTTAACAAGCCGAAGGGATCGATGACGGCTGTTTTAAGTGTGTCATTTTCCTCGACTAGTATCTGGCAATGGGCACGAACATGATCGATCTTGCTGAAGACCATCTTACCTGTGAGGCACGCAGTGAGGTTCTGCATGTGTAGGATGAGGTACTTGTCGGATACCGTAGGTTTATTTAATGCCCGGTCTCCAAACTTCCTTGGAACTATCCGAAGTGGAGAGGACCATGGACTAACTGAAGGACTGATTATTACAAGTTGGAACATTTTGTATGGTCTACTTTCCGCTTACATAGCCCTCATGTTGAATATACAATTCAAGCATGGCACCCACGGCCAAAGCGGGATCTCTGCTTTGGCGATTCCTCAAGGTCGGGCAACCAAAAATGTCATAGGACTGCGCCAGTTGTCATACAAACAGCGCCTCAGAGCGCTTGGCATTTTTGCAGACGTTATCGACGTTTGCGTGGTGGCCTAGTCATGGCTTACCATATTTTAAACAATAATCACCCGTGCTATCACCTGTTGGAGCTGAATCACAACAACAAACTGATAGCTCATCATCTCAACTTGGCGGGACAATACCGTCGGTTGGAGTGTCGAAGTAACTTCTTCTCGCTGCGTGTTTGCCGTACGTGGACTGCCCTCTCAGAAGCCGTTATTTCAGCCCCCACGTTACCCGTGTTCAAAGGACGTGTCGGCGGTGCATTGGCCGTACTACACCATATCACATAACCCAAACGACCCGTAACAACAACAGAAAAGCAAACCAACCCACCTCCACTTTTGCCTGGAAACCACAAACCATTACCTTGAATAATACTCTGTAAATCGCAATTTGTGGTTCGCCACTGGTAGCCATCGCAATTTTTGCCTCTATTTGCTCACCCCTAACCTATCATCCTGTGGGACATGTCAAGCTTCGCCTTTTTCCGCAATGTACTATTGACCACTAGAATTAGGGGCTGTATGTTGCTTGTATGAAGTAAGTGGCTGCTGAGACGCGTTAGGGCTATTCCGCGGATATGTAGCGAGTGGCGTAGCGCAATCTACTTCTTTAGGATGATGATCTATAATCTCATCAGCCAGTTACACAGCTAGAGTAAGATATCTTGACGGAAATGACGATGACTTGGGCTATTTCGAGTAGGTGCTGCAGCTACGTTTCCAGAAGGATGGAGATATCCATTGTAGACAAGTCGAGGTGCCTCTTCATTTCATCCAACAAGGCGGATGACCTCGCATCTTCTAGATGCAAGCCGTGGAGTAGCTGTTTTTTTTCGCGTACTCGCAGGTTGTTCCAGTCGAGTAACGTTCACTTGCTTAAAAGATATAAAAGAAACTTCCGTATTTGGGCTGGAAAGGGGTCTCTGCCGTAAAGTGTAGTCCCTAGGAAGACTGCCTAGCAAATGACTACGTTTAGGTTGGTCGGAAATAATATTATGACGCAATTTCTCATGCTCTAACAAGGCAAACCAAAAAGGCGGGCCCTCAAATAAGATGGAGGACAGACAGTAGTGCAGCACTGATAGGTGAGCCGACAAGTTAGTGTCTAAGTCAATCATAGATTATCACAATAATAATTGTGAAACGGCAGTTATTAAGATAAAACGAAGGAGCTCACCAAACAAGATTTCGGTGGTGGCGGCACCATGCTCGCAGTCGCGATCATCAATTGTGGGGTGCTACTCATTTACTAGTCGCAGGAAGTGGCATATGATTGGCATGCGGAGTATGGAGAACTGTTAGATCGGCCGGACCCAACGTATATTGACAAAAGCTAAAATGAATAGAGGGTGGATAGTCAAATGCAGACAGTAGTGTCCAGCGTCACTCACGAGAAGAGCGAGTGCTTGGTATGAACTATCAGTTGAACAAATGATCGATCAGATATAAACATGGATAAATATTGTATGCGTGAATGATTCATGTTCACTACTGGGTATTCCGACATCTCTGGCGGTCCAACCATGCTAAATAAATAAATCGTTTATTCTCGTCATTGCGAGGCGCACCATCAAGAGCGTGATCATGGTAATACGGACATCTATGATCGGCAATTGCACAAATTAGTGCATTTTGACAAATAGCATAGGAATGTATGTGTGTGTTGACATGTAAAAGTATGTTTGTGTATTTGAAGGGGCCATGCTGTGTGAGTGGGTAAAGGTGACCCTGTGTGTGATTTTGTTCGTTGTGTTCGTCATCAAAGGGGGGGGGAATCAATGGAACGCTTCGAATTGGATGACGTTCGTGATGTGTGTATGATCCTCCGGAAAATGGAAGAGGCAGTGACTTTAGTTAGTGGCGAGCCACATCCGCCACGTCACAGTGTTGTTAAACGGATATCTGTGGTTTTTTATAGGGAGAACGCTTGCCAGGCGAAATCCCACCACATCCTGGAACACTGTCGCCGAACCATTTGCTGGAACGGGATTTACCCGAACCACCCAGCAAGCACCACGAGGAGGTTGTTCGGCTAGCCAGCCTGTATTCTGCATCCTTTTCAAATGTACTCTACATCCTTTCCTCGCCTGTTGCTGGATTTCCACTTTTACTTCTGCCTCCGTCGAGCTCCATCTGCTGGAATTCTCGGGGAAAATTTTTAACGCATCTTGTTTCTGCCGGGATTTTCCAATTTGTGCGATATTTCACCGCTGTTCATGCGCACTGTTTCGCGCTGTTACAAATATTCATCGAAACGCATCCTCATTCTATAGAGGAGGTTCCCAGCTCTCACTGCTGTCATTTCATCACAATGTGTAGAAGTTACATCATAATTTGTTTCCACTGTGAACGCATCCCATTCATTCGTCCACCAAGATTCACTGCCCTGTATTCCCTTCAGTGCGATCAATATACCTACACTACAGCTGCATACACTAACTACCCTGCTTTCTATATCATATGACGGACACGCGCGACGCGCTGGGTGTACCCCACTATTGGTCCCAAAAGCTGAATCGCCCTCAACCCGAAAACAAGGCAGCATCTTTTCGACCACGATGCCCGCAACAATTGTGAAACCAAAAGTCTGTGCAGCGGAAACCTGTAAAAAGGTAGTGAAAATAGGACTGCCATGTTCCCATTGTAGCGGTCCTTACCATCTGAACCGCACCAGAGCACTTTTCATTCTACCCAAAGCTCCTCTTGTAAAAATGTAGTACAGTCTAATCACCAAAACTCAACATCGTTTGAATGCTGCATTTACTTCGCTTGAGGTGACAGTAGCAGGGTTGGTACTTCATCCACCTCTCCCAAGCCCTACCTTGATACCAAGGAAAATGATCAGGCGTTCCCAAGCTATCGCTGTAACTGAAACGGTAGAAACGCCGAATCGGCCAGCGACTACAAAAGTATGCCGGATTCTACCCTCTCTATCCTTTGGTCCTATGGATCATGTGATGTAACCTTGGTTACGCCTTCACTTCCGATTAACGACAGAAGCCGAATCTCTCTAAAGCTCGATCCATGTGTGTAAAAATTGCTAATCTATGTAACCAAAGTGTCGTCCCAATGGCTTCAGTCGCTTTATCCACAAATGGTGTCAATGACGTGATGCAAACTGCAGAGACTTCGTCAAAGCCACTTTCCACCACATCACAAAAAACCAGGAGGAACTACAGTGCCCTAATACTCATATGCACCAATTTTCTTGAGTCCAAGGCAAAACACTTAAGTGACAAACAGCAGGACCATCGAACCAAATGAAATCGTGTTTGTGAGCGAATCGGTGTTCTGGCCAAACATCCGAACTCGATGCACTTCGGCGAGTCCCAACTGATGTAAATTGGGTAACATTGGGATTCATATATAATATCGAGGCGGTACTTTTGTCACCTCCGGAATGAAGACGGTGGGATACGCATATTTTCGGATGTTCCATAGGGCGAACGCCAACATGACGAAAACACTTCAAACGACCGCCACACTGGCGGTAACAGAAGAACTATTTTCGTTCATAGTGCACCTAGGGTACTGACAACTAGCAACCAGGAAGTCCATGCTCATGACTCGAAAGAATGGCTCTACATCCGTGAATCTGCTGGTGAAGTCATACTTCCTTCCGTTTCAATGTTACCCGTGTCGCCTCACTGTAAGGGCAGTGACCTGAGAGTACCAAAGCTTGTTGTTCGTTCCCGACATATGACGGTGACCATAATGCATGGCTGGCATAAACTGTGCAGCACACTACCTTCTTAACTACGATAAGAAAACAGCCATTAGGGAAAAGCGACCACCCGAGGCCATCAAGACAACACCACCCTGCACTCAATGTAACCACCACAGCGAGTAAGAAAACCAATTTCTCAGGCCGGTGACCATTAAAGATGGCTTACAGACATGTTGAAACTTGTCATTGTTTTGTTCACCGTCAAGCCACCCAAAAAACGATTAGGTACTGGCCTCACTTCGGTCGACATACATTCACTCCGTACATACATCCAGTGTCAAGCGATTCTGAAATCCAAGAGGTTGTACTGTATGTACACTAATGCTTAGAGCCTATTTAACAAGCTTTCCGAATTGTGTCTCCGTCAGAGATCAAAGGCCTGTAATCTCATCGCTATAACGGAGACATGCTTGCGCCCCGACATAAGTGCCATCGAGGTTGCGTTATCATGCATGTCCGTTGTTCAGCACAACCGACCCAGTCAAGGGGGTGGAGTGGTTCTGTACTTCCGCAGTGACCGATGTGAGCCCTTGGAAGATCCGGTCCCTACGATACGAGGTTCCCTTTGGTGCCGCATACGCTTGAGAGACAATGACACTTGCTTGGTAGCTATCGTTAACTGCCCTTCATCTTCCACTCCCGTGATGGACTTCAAACTGGTATCTGCTCTGAGGCGGGTAATAGGCAAGATACGGCAACATTCTTGTCATTGGTGATTTCACTATCAACGCTATGGGATCACAAGCCACCCCTGGAGAACACTTTAATGCAGATCTGCAACAGCTTGCGGCCATTTTTCAGCTTTATGGCCGCATAAACAAGCCCACCGGTTTCAGAGATTCAGATAGTCCATCTATAATAGACCGTAATTAACCAACGATGAACTCCTTGTCAAGAGCGGGATACTCGATACTCAAGATCACATGAATTGTGTAACGTTGTTCTCCAAGTATATCTGCTAAGAATACCCAATCGACTCGGATCATAACACGTTATACGATATAGTTAGGCTAGTTGAAACGGCTAACTGGAATTTCTTAGCCGAGGATACACTGGATATTGCTTGGGAAAATTTCTTCAGCATTCTAACCACCTTAGTTGCTGATGCATCAGAAACCAAGGTTGTCGGTTCCCCCAACATGGTATCGTTTGTATCGAGTAGGACACTGAAATGCGTGGCGATTCGAAACAAAACATGGCATGCTCACAAAACCGACCCGTTGTCGAACACCTGGAAAACCCATGTCGCCCACCGCTACCACTGTACTCATCTTGAGCGCGAGGACAAAGTTGCATATCAATGATTTATTTCTAACCATAAACTATTGAACAAGCATGTGAATAACCTTCTCATGATGATAAAAGCATTCCCTTCTCATATAATAACGGATGGACCAGTACGAACTGCCAAAAACTGCAAATACCCTGCAGCAACACTATCTCCCAACTTCTCAATGTTTTCCATGGTATCCTAACCCGCTATAATCTACTGTGACGCCACCATTTTACGGCAAACATTGCGATAAGAAAATTGTTATTTATCCCGGTATTGATGATATTCACCACAAGGCGGTTACCATGATATCAAAGGACTCGACTGAACTCGCGCGACTCTTCCAGCACAATCTTGATGAAAAATGAGTTCATATTGTGTGGAGACACGGGTTAATAACGCTCATTTATAAATTAGGCTGTCATTTCTACCCAGTTAATTACTGTCCAGTACTTTCGAAAGTCATTGCTGACGCGCCCATGTCCTCTTTTTACTAACTTGACTACATCGCGGAAGAGCATCATGGCTTCCACCGGACTTGTTCTTGCACTACCAATCTTCTGCTAGCACGGGACAGTTAGAACGAAACAGTGGATATCGTTGTCGGAATTGATGTTGTCTACCTCGACTTCTCTAAGGCATTCGACTGGTTGAATTATTGCATTATTCTAACTAAGCTTTAGGGATAGGGCATTGTTGATCCCTTCCTTGCACAGGCATCTAGAAGTCGAAGTGCACGAATATCAAATTCTATACAAGTGGAATACGATGTGCCACGAGGTTCAGTTTGGGGACTCCGTTTGTCGTTGATTTTCATTAACGCTCCAGTGAGCTTAATCATTGCACGCTGTTCGTTTTACGTTGACGACATCAAAGTTTGGCGGTCTAGCAATGCTCCTGACGACCGCGTTCAGCTTCAAAACGACTTCTACAAGTTATAAATGATCTGTCTAAACTCTTCTTCAGTCCATTGCTACGCGACTGGACCTTAATGTGATGCGATGGAGGGCATGTCTTAGTGGTCCATTGAGCTATGCTGGGTGATTTTTTTTACACCTACAATGCTCCTCATACCAGATTGGTCGATGAGTAGAAGCCAGGCAAACTCAGTTTCCTAGCCCTCCAGCTTGAGGTTGGAGTGAGTGTGGCTCCTTACTCCGTAGAAGGGACTATCTATAGACCCGTGCCAAAACCGGTTATTTACGGTCAGGTTTTTGAACCGAATGTTATGGTTGAGAACATAATCCTTCTCCTATCTAGACCCGGGCCACGTGACAGTATCTTGCTCACGCAATACAAAGGATTTTCCTTCCGATTAGTCCTTGTTACTCTG